TTTGTTTGCTTTAGTATTATTGTTGTTTCTTATGCTCGTTTTTTTTATCTCGTTTGTTTGCCTCACTGGCTATCAATTTAACTTTTTTTGCAGAATGAATATGTGTTTTGAAACGTTTATTCAGTCTTTATTTTTAAGCGTTTTTGCTATGATGTTTTGAATTTACTGCTCTATTATAATGTATCCAATTTTTTTGCAGAAAACAACTATTGCAAATCAAGAAAACAAAAAAACAAAAAGGAACAAAAACGTAAACAGAATTGAAGGCTAGCAAAGCAGAATAGTGGTGTTAGTAGAAGAAGGGCAGTGGTGAAAGAAGAAGGGAAGTAAAAGGAATAGAAAAAGCTTGATTCCTTTCCCTTGTTTTTTTTTTTTTTTTTTGAAAAAGCTATAATTCTAACAAATAACTGACAAAGGTAATAAATGTACCAATAAATTATTCACTTATTTATATCTGTTCATCAGTAAACCAACCTGTCTATTTGGCAATTTATTTGTCTGAAACTGTTCTGTGGACGTCATACGAAAAAAGACTATACACTGAATAATCAAATACATTTGTCAAAGTATACCTAATACTTATACCGCTAAAACAGTAATGAAGTCAACAACAGCGATCGCTATGCGGTTATCAGAGACACCAATTGCATCGGCAAATGCATTCGTCACCGGTGCCGATTCAATTACAATTCGATGGAAACTGATCGACGATTATCCAGAACAAATTATATGCTTTAAAGGTAACAGCTGTTGACACTGAAACAAGTTATTTGTTCTGCTATCAAATTTTACAAAATTCTTTCTTTTTTTACGGCTTATTTAGATTTTTACGCTTGGAACTTTTAGTACAACTCGTACTTATTTAGACTTTTTCCTCTCGCAACTTTAAATACAAAAAAAAAATTTTTTTTGACATTGATCTCTGTCAATTAGATTGTCGTGCAGTAAATTTGTCTAAAGGATACAATCAATAAATGTAAAGAATAGCAAAAAATTCGGGTTTAACACTGCAAGTCGTTTGACAATTTTATGCTAATATTTTTGGCAAAAAAAAATGAAAAATTATAGAAAAATCGAGAAAGAGTTCTATCAGATTTGTTTCGTTTTGTTAGGATTATTTTCAATTTTCAAGTTTTTTTCCACAACAACAGTTTTCAAATGATTCATTAATAAACAGCTAAAATGTTGGCTAAACTTTTCTCATTGTGAATAACCGACTTATTTGGATATTTTTTAAGGCATACACAGAACAGAATCAACAACAAATTTTTCTCGTGTTTTTTTTTAACTTTCTTTTTTCGTTTTTTTTTTTTTCAAGGATTACGCAAAAAAAGTGATGTTGAAAAATGAGTGCAACAAATGGAAAGTTTAAACATTTAAAAAATAATGTATTTTATGTTGGGTTGGGTCGTCTGAAGCTTTTGCCCTTAAATATATGATTAAGTTTTGCAGCCGAATGGAGTCTCTCAACAAATTTTGCTGAAGTTGAGGGTGTTAAATTGACCAGTGATGTAACAAAAACTGAATTGGCAATAACCAACCTTAAGCACGGTCTAAAGTATGCATTCCGTGTTAGCGCCGCTTCTCAACGAGGATTCTGTGCACCATATCGAATTCAACCAGAATTAATTGTTTTGTCCAGTATGTATTATACTTCAATTTCTTCCATCCCTTTCATTTGTCTTCCTCGTTGTTTATTTTACCTTTTTGCCATTCTTCTACCACTTTTTTTCTCTCCTTCATCAATCCAATATTTTAACATTAAAATGTGATTATCTGCTCCTTCCTCTTCTCTGCCCCATACAGAAACGTACCTATGCATTTTTGCCACTAACAACCATATTCAGCGGGCAGTTGATCAAAAACAGAAACAAGAAATCATATGAAACAAAAAAATTGATAAAATAAGACTGTACGAATAAAAAACAGCAAAAAGACGAGGTACTCAGCAAAACAGAAAAAAATTTGGCTAAAAATCATTGTAACCTGCAGTTTACAGTTATAAGTGTTTAATCTTTCCCATTTCCATTTCCTTTTCTTTTCTTTTCTTTTCCTCATTTTCAATTCATTTTCTGTTTTCTTTTTTTTTCTCACCATCTTTTTCAAATAATCAAATAGATCATCAAATTGTACAACTGAAAAAAACTGTTTTGATAATATTTATCTATTTTCATGTTGGGAAGATATAAGTGGATGTAAAAAGTTGCCAAAATGTGACATCAGTGAAATTGAAAATAGTTTCAAAAAAAGTTGTTCAACACCGTTATGGCAGACAGGTATTTATTTGTACCAGTTATTTATCTGTTGTTTATCTTTTCTAAATTTATGCTTCAAATAACATTCTTTTTCACATTTTTCTGCTTTTTTCGGTGAAATAAAAGTACCACAAGAAAAAAAAGTTAACCAAAGATTAATGCTCCAATTTTTTTATATTTATTTTTGTTGCTGCTCCCAATGTTATCGTTATCTTTCGTAGACCAAAAAAGAGAGAAAAACAGCAATTATAATTAAAGCTTTTTTTTTTT